TCCCACAGATGTGTCATTAGGTAAAGAATCTCTTATAACTTCTTTACTTAGACACTTCCTCTCTGATTGATCTTTGATTTAACTTCAGTATTTTCAGTATTTTCCTCTAAACCATCATCATTATTACTTCAATTTGAACTATGATTAATCTATATTTATTAACACTCTATGTAATATATCTACCTTATTATCCTAACAGAGCACTTCACTCGCAGGCTGTAGGCTTCCTTGTGGTTCTTAGAGTTTTCAAAAGTAGTCTGGAAGGGAGTAAAATTGGAGGCGGAGCCTACAGCTTTCTGGCCCCTTTATTCCCAGTTTGGATTTGGGAGACAGACAGACTCTCTACTTTTAAGATTAGGCTTTTAACTTTCCTTTTTGACAAAGCTTATAGTGAGAGCTGGATCAGATGACCCTGAACCATCCATCTCTTGGTTATTTTGCAATAGGTTTCGGCTGCTGGGGGACATCACATTAAGCTCTGAGCATTTCCTTTCACTCCCTTTGTGTTTATACACCACTATGCATTCAATCATTAAAAATGATTAAACTAGGGCTCTTTGTCTCATACAGTGTCTTTTGTCTCGCCTCTCTGTTCCCTCTTCTCTTTGCCCTAAACTTTGAATTGAACACCAAGACTTTATGAGATAATTATTTTCTCATTCTTATCTGATATGGGATTCTAGCTGCTCATCAATTTTGGGTCTCATTTGTTGTATTTTTCATTTCATGATGTGCCAAATGTTTTCAACTGGTGAAAGGTCTAGACTGCAGCCAGGCCAGTTCAACAGCCAGACTTGCTATGCTGTCGTAATAGATAGAGCAGTATGCGCTCTAGCTGAATTATGCAAGGCGATCCCTGAAAAAGGATCATTTGTAACAGTCTGAAACATGTATATACCTTGATGGTGCCTCTCTAGATGCGCAAGCTGCCAAAGTCACTGTCACTAATGCATCTCCATACCATTAGAAATGCAAGCTTTTGAGCTGAGCTCTCAAAAAGCTGGACGCTTCCTCTCCTCTTTAGTTAGGAGGATGTTTGGTTTTCAAAAAGAATTTCAATTTTTGATTTGTTCAGTTCTCCCACTTTGCCTCAGTCCATTTTAAATGGCCTTTGACGCAGAGAAGATGGCGGTGCTTTAGGATCATCATCACGTATGGCTTCTGTGAATGATCGAGCTTTAACCTGCGCTTGTGAATGGCACTCTGAATTGTTTTCAGCCTTTAACCTCAAGCACAGAGATTGTAATGTAGATGGTGAGATATTCAAAGTGTTGAGGAATATTATTCTGAAATTGTTCCACAATTTCTAGATGCAGGGTCTGTCCATCTTTACTTTAACTGATTAATACCAGTTCCTTTTTTTTTCAGTGTCTTGCTATCAAATTAAAAATGAGATATTTTTTCATGAAATAGTAAAATGTCTCAGCAGTAACATTTGATTTTTTACTATTTTCTATTGTGAATAAAATGTGGGTTTCACAAATCACTGCATTCTGGGTTTTTATTTTTTAATTTTGATTTTATACAGCATCCTGATGTTTTTGGAGCTGGGGTTGTGTTTCTAAATATTCTTCTTGTGTCTAAAATGAACCAAGTCCTCTGATCTTACAGAAAGCCCTGCCTTCAAGCTGATAAGCACTTTACTCATGGCTAACACGCTCTCTGAATCACTTCCTCAGCAGTGAACTTTAACCGTTCATTATCATCCAACTCAAGTGAACTTTGACCAAACAAGTTTACTGTGTGGTACAAGAAGTAACTTTGTAGCCATGAGAAAAGCTGTTCAACGTCTGTTATTCTGGTTGGATGGATATTTTCTGTTTATATAAAAGCCCGTGGATGAATAAACAAGGGCTTTACAACATCTGGGCAAGGTAAGAGGTCACAGACTGAAGTTAAATGCAAAATCTGAATCTGAAGGCGTTCATATCAACCATGATTTGTTTGGCAAAATATCAAATGATTTGTGCAGCATTTAACATCCATACAAATTAACTTTTTCCCTGACAGATGAGGCAGAACATGTTTGAGGAGGGACTGTACCAAGTATTTTTTAAGGATACACCCTCACCATCCCCACAAACTGAGGCCACCAATAATGGAGAGCTAAGCAATGCCAGGATTCATCGTTGGTTCGGGGCTGTGGTTAATACTAGACTTTTAGTCAGTGGGGTAAGAAGCTCGCCCAAACTATTGATTAACATCCTGAAGCTTTGAACCTGCCCATCTTTTATTCTTTATCCCCCCTCAGGTGATTCAAATCCTCAGTGCCTTAGTTTGCATACTAACCACAATCACTCACGCATGTGTGAGCTACAGCTGTGCTGTCTCCATGACAACACCAGCATGGTCAAGCATATTTGTGAGTCCACATCTGCTTGAGCTGACATGCACACAGTATAAAATTTCTGTTTTAAAAGAGAGAAAGCCAAATAGGAGGTTGTACCTGTTTTTTGTTGTTCCAGTATGTGGCTGCTGGGTGTCTTGCAATTGAGGTTCAAAGAAAAGCGAATAAACTGAAGGTAAAAAGTTTGGTAAATTCTTATGTGGCTTCTTTTTTACTTATATTATGATCAGCCTGACTGAGTTTATCTTAACAACAAACAGATCATCGCCCTGATGGGTGTGAATGTCTTTAGTCTCGTGTTTGGATTCTCAGCTTTGCTGGCCAACGGTATCAGAGCTGCACAAGCCGTCACACTCACTTACCAACAGGTAATTCTGCATTCCAGTAACTAGGTTTGAATCTTTCTTTATAATAAAGAGGTCCTGTAAGGAATCTCTTTTGGGGTTTGTGTTCAGCATACACAGAAAACCTTACAATCGTTCTTTTCTTTCTGCCTTCTTCTCACTAGCGTGCTGGTTCTTATATTGCAAGGGCGAGCACCATAGTGTTCACCGTACATTGCTTCCTGGCATCACTCTACATACTTTTCCTGTCCTGGAGGGGTCTGCGCCGCTACAGTTCTCCCCATTTTCAGGTTTACAGTCGCGTCTCACAGGTAAATATTGGATGATAGGGTAAAATAAAAAACCTGAGACTGGGAGAAAATCCTAATCAATGCTGTGACTTCTGGTTTAAAGGAATACAGGAATGCAGTTTAATTCTGTTAGCTTTTTTTTAGGGCATGATGATGTATATTGAATTATTTAGTTTGCATTGATTTGTTAATCACTGCTATCTTAGTGTTTCATCTGGATGCTTTTCTTGGCAGGATCCAGATGAAACCAATGGGCCTCTCCTGGAACAAGTGGAATTTAATATGTGAAAGATCTGAAATCTCATTGTTTGCAAGCATAGTTACTGTCATTAAATTGTTTGTTTGATCTGAATATAGTAATGTTGTAAATCTGTTAAAGGCAGTAACCTATCCTCCAGACAACCATTCACCCTCACACTCACACCTCAGAACAGTTTCTACAAACATCAGTTAATCTAACATGCACGTGTTTGGACGGTGAGAGGAAGCTGGATTACCTGGAGACAGCTGACATAGACACAGGCCTCCACAGAGACTTCAGACTGGCTGGTGGAGTCAAACCCAGGGCCCTCTTATTGTCAAAAAATTGACAGTGGAAATTGCTGTCATATATAAATATGTCAATAAAATTTGGTCTTTTTTATTTTATTTTTTGTAATTCAAAGGCTATAATGGTTAAAACTGCTGCCATGGTTTTCTTTCTTCATTTACTTCGATGTTATTCTGCAGAGGGCACTAGAGGGCGATGCCGCCACAGATTTTTCACATCGTAAACCAGTGTGATATTTTACTCCATTGCAGTAGTTAAGCGTAAACCTGGATAATGAATTTCATTTTATTATTTAAGGTTTTTTTTTTTCTTTTTTTTTAGCACTCAGGACCTTCAGGGCTGAGAAGCTGAGAGTGATCTATGCATCTTCTTCAGTTGTAATCTATCCGTCGCTGACTGTAAATAAATGTTCCTGTTGAAAAAGCTTGCAAGAATCTGTTATTTTTCCCCCCTCCCTCTGGATATTTTTTCATGAATGTCAGTGGGATTTTAAGCATCTTACTTGAACCCTAACCCTCGTCACAAACTCAACATACAGTCAAAAACTGCACATCACAGACATATGTGCATGAATAATAGTTCTTATATTTATGTATTGTGTAGTAGAGGGTGTGGTGTGTTCGAGTATTTCAGTGATGGAGGATTTAATTAGGAATTTAAACGAAGGTCATACACCACTCCTGCAGCAAGAACTCTCTCTCTCTCTCTCTCTCTCTCTCACACACACACACACACACACACACACACATACAGACACACAAACATGCACAAACAGACGTATGAGTGGAAAAAAATCCAAGTGCAGTTACTTTCTCACGGCAGTTCGGGCTAACAGCTTCCAGCTGTTGCCTGGCTGGGAGAACTGCTATGGGAACACACCGAGTACAAAGACCAACGTGGGATTAATTAGTAAATGGACACAGAAGTGGTACAAACCAAAGCAGGATGATAAAGCTGGGTGTCCTGGCAGAAACTGACACTGTGCTCATGTTAGCAGAAACCACATATCATCACAAAGGATCACAACTACCATTTGTGAGTTTTGGGCCTGAGTGATAGCCTTAAAATAGTAGAGCACACGATAAGTTAAACACACATTTCAGCAGAATTTACTTAAAGGAGGATTTTGTTTTTCAGTGGATATCAGCAAATTAAAAAAGGTGAAGCCGGGCTGTTTAACCACGTTTTCTGATGAGTAATATCTTTTCTGTTTGGAGTGTATCTTCCCTTCTGACTCCACAGGAAATCCTCTCAAAGGTGCAGAAGGGAGGGAAGTAAATTAAGCTCGGATGTTAGGAGAGTGAGTGTGTCCGGAGGAGAGGAAACAGTGACCACATGTTGGGATTCCCTTTGATAAGTCTGGCCGACACTATGACCTTTCAGCTGAATGGCCTCAAGGTATCTGATCTTGAACCATTTTGGAGAAAGGGAAGGGAAGAAGTGAAAAAAGAAACGACAGACCACTTATCTTGAGAACATTCATCAATAATTTATTTTCTTACTCTCAAGAACCACCACAGCTTCTCGTCTTGAAAATTTCATCATCAATTTTGAACAACACAGTTTTGAAAAATGCAAAGTTACTATACAAATTCTTAATAGAAAAAAGAATAAATTAAGTGTGGAATTAAGTGTTTTTTTAAATCAATTCCACATTTGTTTTCCTACAACACCTTTAATGTACTGTTTCAGCTGAAGAGAACTGATAAAATTGAGTTACATGCTCTATTGTCTGGTAGAGGAAGTGCTTCTACTATTAAACTGTTTGTTAAAATAAGCTTCATTTTGCACATCTGGTATTGAATCTATTGATAACAATGAAGAGATGTCTAGATCCTACGTGACAAAGCAGTAAGTGGTCATTTTGTAGCACCTGAAAGGGTTGTTACAATGTCCGAAACTTAAAAAACAAAAACAATACTGGTTCATTTAAAGTGGAACATTGTTAAAACAAAGGATGTGAATGTTAAAAACCCCACAAAATCTAATAGTGCCCCATCAGTACATACAGGAAAAGACTTGATAAAATAGTTAGTTCATTTCTTCTCTTGGGAGTATTACAAAAACCTCATACATTAGTATGGAGCACAGGAAATATGTTGTTTGGAAATATGAAGGGAAGGGATGTCACACGTCTTCACAATGAGCTCAGAGGTCAGAGATTACAACAAGGTCAAAATGGTACTTTTTTTGGTGCGGGATGACACCACGGAGTAAAACGTGCTAATGGTAACACGAAGGAGCTGGGCACTATCTTTGGGGTCTTCCTTTCTCAGAGGATCTTCACGGCATGCGTGGGATTTTTTGTCTAGCACAGAAATGTTTCGGAGGGAAAAGCAAGATCAAACTCAAATACACTCGAGTAAAGAAGTCATATTAGGCGGTAACCAGTGATCGCTGCTTCCAACTCTGCTTAACGACTTATTCAATTTGTCCAAACTTGGCAGGAACAACTGCCCAAGAACTGGCCATGCAGGAGGTCGGGCGAAACCTTCTTAGTAAAATATTGTTTGCCCCAAACTCACAGCAGTCTATAAAGGAAATACAAATGAAAGACGTACCGTTCCTCTCATACCAAGAAGCACAATACACCTTTTATCCAGTCTGAATGGTGCTATAGGATCTATCACTGAGATTCACAATGTGTTTTAGAGCAAAATAGCACTTGGTTAATTTAGATTTTGAGGAATAAGGAAACAGTGGTGAGCATTAATTTGCAACGGAAACATTTGTCAAAGGAAGAGAAGGAAAATGGCTAAAAACAACCAAAATTCCCTTTATTGTTATTTATTTTTTATTTTTTTACAAAACTAGATGTGCTTTTCTAACCCTGTTCTGAATATTTGATTGATTAGGACGTGTGAGAAAAATAATTCTCTCCATTTGAGCGGATTAAAGTATTTGTGTGTTGGCTTTAGCGTTTCTTCCCTGACAGCAGGGGTTTTAATTATCTGATGCCTGAAACACAGAGAGGATTGCCCTTTAACACCTTGTGGTTACACTGATATGAGAATACACTTACTGTAGGTCCAGCCCTCAAAGACACTGTTAATGTTGTGCTTTCAGACTTAATGGTGTTAAAATACATTTCACTTAATACCAAATAAACCCTCGTTGGATGTCATCCGTCCGCTGTGCCTCACTGTAATTTCATAGAATGGCTTTCTGCTGTGGGGAAGTAAAGGGGCTGTGTGGTTTGTAATGATTTCAGTAGTAAATTACAGTATTAATGTAAAGCACCAACATATTTGAAACAGATAAAGTAAGATGAGTAAACACAGTGCCATAAAGGGATACTCAGCATGGTGAGAGCTGGTGTAGAGCCAAGATCAAAGGTTAAACAATTCTCACTGAGCCAATGCAATATTAAAATAGAAGTAATGCCAAGACATGTCAGACATTTTTTCTTTCTTTCAGGGTTTAATATGAAACAGTGCGCAAAGGCCAGACCAACAAACTTCAGACAAAATTTTAAAAAGTGCTGTAATGACTGAACAGCACCCATAAATGACCTTTTCTTCCAAGCCTCCTCTACTCCCTGGCTCATACACCATGTGATCAAACATGCTGCTGCGGACAGAGTAATCCTCTGAAGATCACAGATATTAAAATAAACACGAAGGATGAAGTCAGTGAAGAAGGCAAAAGAGTAACGCCAAACAACCACAAATCCAAATTCCCCCTATCATGATCCTTGAATTCACTCCGCCGATTCAAACCAGTCCAAAGACTTCTACGAGGGTTGTTATTGCTATAGTCCTTATTAATATCCAGACAGTCTCTCAGAAACCATGCTGATATTGTCACTTTGAGTACAGTTTTCACTTTTTTTCTTTGTGCCTGCCCAAGAACTCTGGTGTGACTGGTCGATTCAGAAACTGTCTGTGGTTGTGGGTAAAAGAGAGAACTCCTGAATGTTTCAGTCATCTTTTCTTTTTATAAATACGCTGGAAGAAATAAAGAAAAAGAAAGACAAACAAGTGTTAATGGGAATGAAATGCAACACAGTTCGTTTGGGCCTGGAAATGGGTTTTAAACTGGTGGCTCAAATCCAGCAGGTATCCTCTGACTGGGAGGCAGTGCACTGGAATAAGTCTGGGGACCAAAGATGAATATGAAAGAGATCCTGGAATGGCCTGTGTTGTTTCTGCTGAGTTTTGAGTTGCATGTGGGACGTTTTGCTGTGCTCTCTCTTCCCATCGCTCGCTTCCCGTTGCCCTGTTATTTGTGTGCTGCAGTAGGTGAGTAAAGAAAGGGCTCTGTGGTGCTGTAGGGTGACAGTTCAACAGCTGAGGTGGCATTTCTCAGTCCGTCCTGTGAAATCTGCCCTTAAAGAGCCCAGCGAGTAGTCCCTGTCCTGCTGAACTGCAATAGACAGGTCATAATAAAGAGGTGGTGAAATGTTAGGAGGAGGGAGGCTCACGTCCAGCCCGTCAAGTCTGCTCAGGGCAGGGTTTCTGCAGGGCTTTGAGGATGAGGTTGTCAGTTGTTGATGGATAATTGTAGGGGACAATGGAGAGGCAGTAGGAGAGGGCAATGGGACTTTTCTAGGCCCCATAGGAAGGTCTCAGACCAGCGTTCCAGGTTTGGCCTTGTCTTGTCCGTACCACTGGACATCTGCCAGCTCTGAACACAGAGGGCTGCTGAGAAAACAGCTGTCACTCAAAGTCCTGCAGAGGAAGAAAGACCAGAATCAGAACAGATGCAGGGCAGCTTTTTTGTCTTTGTCTGCTGTTTGTGAGCTTTTTTGTTGTTGTTCAATCTCTGGTGACGGTGACGGTGCACGGTTAAGTGTTGTTTATTAGTGAATCTTGTGAGCTGCAGTAAAGCTTTAGATCAGAACGGAGCAGAAAGCATGCAAAATTCAGGCAGATACAGGCAAAGAGGGAGTTCATGACACATATACCTCCACCGTCAAAGAGCAAGAAATGAGAAATGAACCACAACTGTCAGTGCCCCACAGATGTGCATTCGTTTATCATGTTTTGATGGGATACATTTTTATGAATGAAAAGTTGGACTAAATTTGGTCCTGATGTTCTATAATGAAAAAGGTTTGCTTTAAAATCTACTGATATTGCATTTTCCTAGTACTATGCTAGATTTAGACCACAGACGGTACCTCTATGCATCAGAGCTGGGCTGAGGGGGAGACTGACAGACGTCCTCAGTAGGAGAGCAGTCTGCTGTCCCTCTAAACCAGGAGAGAGGACACACACATAAGGAAAGGAGGGTTAGTAAAGACAGAAAGATGGACAAGAAAGAAATGACAAACAGTAAGCAATAAGAAGATTCCCAAGAGAAAAAATTAAGAGTAATAGGTGTGTAAGATAATCAAGAAAGACAGTGAAGAAAAAATGTACATAAAGACCAAAAACAGGAAAGCAGGCGGGAAAATACAGACATATATGATCTGACTGAAGTCTGAAAAGAATTAGGAAGTGTTTTGCACCCAAAATCACAGACAACGACACAAAGAAGAGCAGACACTCGAAGTTTGTGAGTGTGTTAAGCGTGAGTCCTGGACAAATATGAAGAAAGAGAAAAAAGCTGAGCAGCAGATGCAGTTTTCCCTAATATTCCTATCCGGCTCCAACGTCTTGGCAGCTTTTCAGCCACCTTATGCGTGCTTGTGGGTTTCTTACCCGCTCTGCCAGTTAAGGATGTGTTGTGGGCTGCAGGGAGGTGTGGGTGTAGCTGCGTGTTCACTTGACGGGGTCATACTCCTCTGGCTGTGAGGGGAAGCAGCTAAAGCAAAAAAAGTAGAGTCAGACAAGTGACACAAAGACCAGAGGTTACAGTGAGGTGAAAGACAAAGGAATTCCAGCTATGCTCGGGGGATGGGGGTGGGAAATACCCTGTGAGCTTG